CTCTGACAGCCTCCATACAATTACCAAACAGAACACCACAGCATCGCCCCTCTGACAGCCTCCGTACAATTACCAAACAGGACACCACTATCCTTCAGACTGCGATGACGCCAGCTATGAATGATCTTTGTCACTGCAGAATCAAGTCCTCGCCAGGAGCCATGAACCTATTCTCACTTTCCTGAGGGGTAAGTTGTTGAAGAGGATTGTCATGTCATGCATTCATTGCCGATACAAAAGCACTATCACAGAGCTTGTCCTGCACATTCTTCTCTATTCCTTATGCGAGTGTCACTTGTTATCATCGTGCTATGGCAAAAAGGATGGAACTTACTCCAGGTCCTCAGAAGGGTATCTCTATTCCTTATGCGAGTGTCACTTGTTATCATCGTGCTATGGCAAAAAGGAAGGTAGTGGAACTTACTCCAGGTCCTCAGAAGGGTGTCACAATCAGTCGCTAAAGGATTGTGAAGTTGTGAACTTTAAATCCAGTGAAGGCCAATGCATCAGTTGCTAGCATGCCAGCAGAGGAAATGCTGGTTCACTGAAGAGGGCATAAGCAGGAGATGAGTTGAAATGATGATTACAGGTCACAAATTGTTCGGTGTAATGTTGTAAACAAAGTCCCAAACAGAACTACGTTCCTCCAAATGAAGAAGAACACCTGCTGTACAGCAGCCTCACTCTCCGGACGTCCGCACTCCAAAGCGTAGGTATTTTTCTGCAATGTACACAAAGCAGTAGCAGGCTCCACTGGAGCCACTGAGATCGTCGTCAGTATGTTCATTACCACAACTCACCCCCACCTAAGCAACTTGGCATATTGCTTGAAGCTCTGCCGCCTTGTCAGCAACGAATACTCCATATAAAGTAGTATGAGAAGGAATAACAGCATAGTACATACCGCAGAAACGAATTGCTTTGTCCGTGTCAATGCCCGTACAGCATAGAAGTATATGCCATACCAAGCCACTAGAGAAGAGAGAAGAGATGGAGTGCCACAGGCAGAAGAGAAGGAAACTAGTCCAGGAAAACCACTGGCGATCATCAGCCAGTATTGGTAAGGAGCAAAATAACTTTTTTATCACGCCCAAGCTACACTGGGTGGAAAGCAGCGAGCTTCTGAACAGAAAGATACCCGCGTGTAGATAGCCAAACAGAGAAGTCATGGACAGCAGAGAATTTAGCTGAGCCATAGACTCCAACAGTGTGGATGGAACTGTTGTCCATTGGCATCTGATGTGCACTGCACAGCAAACATGCCACATATACAGGTAAGCAATTATCAGAAGGCACTGTGGGGCATGTATGCCCACACCCGTGGATAGTCCAAAGGGGAGGAAAAAATGCTCGCAACCTAAAAAATGCAAGCAGTGATTGTCCGAGTGCCTCCCCCCGATCTTCTGTGCATGCAAAGCTCTAAAAGGTGAGCAATTGCTTCGCTTTGCTCGGCGATGAGGAGTGGGGAGGGGACAAAGGATGCACATTCACAGTGTGCACGACAGAAGAAGAAAATTCCCTAGATCTTTCTTAGGCCTCAAGGTAAAAGGTGAGTGCCTGCTTCATTTTCAACAGCAATGGAGAGAAGGGAAGGGGCATTTGCCACACCCTTACGCATGCATATCTTCATAGCATTCATCCATGCAGGCATAGCAGCCACCGCCCATTCTGTGGACATGCAAGCCTCACATAACACGGCCCCAGAGCTGACAAGGGCAGCACTTACAGATTAGCAAGCGAAAGAATGCCTTCCATAGCCATCAAAGCAGGACATTGAAAGCAGTCTGCCTAGAGTACGAGTAGAACCTGTGTGCTTCACATATCTGTCTACTGCACTCGTAATCAGTTTGTGTTGTGGTGGAAACACCAATTGTTCTGAGCAAACAGAAAAAGAAAGTGAATGCCTGGAGATCTGTTTGCTTTTCCATTCAGGCAGACTGTGCCTCCCAAAGTGTTTCATGTTGGTGCGTGCTGCTTCATAAGCTGTTCATGATTACGAAGGACTAGCTCATCAAACTCCTTGTGGCTTCTGTCAATGAGCAACTTTGCCGCATCAAACGTTGCAAGCCTAATACTGCACAGTCACATATCACAGGTCAGAAACAGGCAGATGACTGTGAGAAGTGGAGAGATTTCAGGCACTGCCATTCACAATATTAGTAGGAAAAGCACTGATGCAGCAGTGATTTAGCATGACCAGAAGTTCCGAAATCATGTGTGCGAGTGGCACACACCTACAACTCGAGAGCTCAAAAACTTATTCAAACCTCTAAACACTAAGGACAGGGGGTGGGGGTCAGGGAAGATCAGGAGCCTTGTGCACTGTAGAAAACTTGCCATTAGCGAAAGGTTGGGATCATTTTCGAGAAGACTTGGAAGAAAGTGGAAGAGGAACAATGAACAAACAGCCATCGCAAAATCAACCCAGTCCCATCACCTATGTTTGAACTTTGAAAATATGAAGAAAGCATACATGCGTGGATAATGTGTATGTGCGTTTAAAAAAAAATCCCAGACTGTCTTTCAATGAGCCTCTTAGTTCAACACCAGTGAGCGCACACAATCACACCACATGCATGTATGAGATCACACAAAGTTCACACTGGAGGCCAGAGAGATGAAGACCAGGTAGCGCAGCTTTATAATTTCAACAAATTATCATATGTTACGATCCTGGCCACTTTTGAACTCCACAATCATCAGAAAGTACAATGTTGTCCAATTGCGAAAAGAAATGAATGAACTTGAGCCCAATGCCGTCCAATTGCAAAAGAAATGAAAGAACTTGAGAGGAGAGAGAGGGAAAGAAGAAGAAGAAGAATTAAGAAAGAAGAAGGAGATGATGTACTCCAGCATAGACCAAAGACAAAGCTCTTCTTCTTCACTCAACAACCTCCTCCTCTTTATCTCCTCCTCTCTTATTCAAACAATAAATAAACAATAATAATGTTGAACAGCTGAACCAGAATCAATGTCCGAATCCCACTTCTACTGCAGGCACAAAATGAGGTCCACCATAGCCATGGCAGCCCAACCCCAAGCAGCTACACCGCTGCCCTTCTTCAAGGTCATCACCCAGCAGCTATACCGCTGCCCACTCAACCGCCATGCCTGACTCTGTCCGAGCTTCCTTGATGCGGCACTACCCCCACTGGGGCCTTCCTGATGCAGYGCCTAGCAAGGAGATGAAGATGGTGYCTACMATAGCCAGTAAGTACCTCGCCACTCTCCTCCTTGGTCCCCTTCTCCCTCCTCCTCCTACCGGTAGAGCTCCACCATAGCCAAGGTGGAAGCTCCCGGCTTCTTCCTCCCAGTAGTGCTGTAGTGCCCAGCGCTACACCACCTAGCGCTCCAGCAGCGTGACGCCCAACTCGCACACTGAAGAATGAGGCTGGGYTCTCCGCCCTGCCTCTTGATATAGCGGCCTACTTGCCTCCTGGGCGGTGACTTCCAGGCCGCTCGGCCTCTCCAAGCAACCGGTACTTCCTCCGTTTCGGAGGGAAACATCATTGCAGACTCTGATATTACCCGTACAGGCTCTAGACTCAGACTGGTTGGACTGGTACCGGCCTAGACCTACCCTACCGCTACTGGACTCTAAAAATGCCAACTTTGTCTTTTTCTGCTCGGCCTCCAGTACCCCTCACGCCAACTGCAGTGGGGTGCAGTATCGGCCTACCAGCCTACTTGAGTGTTTTTCCGCTACCCCAAGGGCCTCAGGGCCGCTAGCTTCGCCACTTGAGTGTTTTTCCCTGCTACAACCCTCAATGCCACGGCCACAGGTAAGTACCGGCCCTACGGGCCTACCAAACAAGCAAGTACCCTTGCGGGTCCCACACACACTCACACCAACAAGCACTCAGACAGGCATGCAGGTCACAAGCACGCACACACAGACAGACTTAGAAAACACAGCAGAATGCGGGAATCTCAGCAAAGCATCCATTCCATCGGCAGAACTTCAGAAATCAGCAGTTCTCAGTCTGTGTTTTGATGGGTCATTACACATATAAACAATTAAGAGTTTCGGTCACAGGCGCTCAACAGCGCAACCCCAAGTATCCAGAATCTCCACTCAGGTATGTAACTTCCCCGAAACTCTTCTCACTTCTTCCTCTCTTGGTCTTCTCTCTGTCTTCTACCTCCCTGTATTTCCCTATCTGCATGCACTCACACTCTCTCTACTACTCAAGGACCAACTCTGAATACACCCACTGTGAACTCTACTAACCCCTCTGAAGACTACTACTAACTATAGCACTAACACCCTGCACTGGTGCAGCTATGGCTGCCTTCTCCCTGCCAGTGCTGTCTCTTCCTCTCCCTCCCTCTCTCTCTCTACTAGCGCAGCACTCTGGCCTTAACGCTCTGCCCCTCACAATAGTGCACAAGTGCACCAGCACTTCCACACTTCATGCGAATGAGCTATCTGCCCAATGAGGAGGCTGGCCAGTCCTTTTGTAGTCTTGGACTTGCACTTCAACTCGTGCCAGCCTCTGCTTCCTGGGGCCTGACTGGGTTCCGGTACCACATCCCCACGGCCTGTCTGCTTTCGAATGTCAAGGCCTGGAACCTTCCCGAATTTCCATTGGTCTGCTGCTGCTTGTGACTTTTCGCTTTGGGCGTATGGTTTTGACTGTGGACTGTGACTCCTGCCTCTGGGACACGACTCTTGCCTGTGGAACTGCCCTTTTCCTCGTGGGATGTGACTCTTCAATATGACTTTTCATTATGAAACGTGATTTTTTACCCTAAGATGTGATTGTTTGCTGGGTGCCTGTTGGACTGGACTGCTAAGGTACCCGACTGTGACTTTTCTGAAATTGACTAACTCGGCCTTTCTTGGCCAGGGCCTCTGACCCTGAGACCCGAATTTGGGGTCTGAATCGTGGAAGGCCTTTCAGTCTCTCTCATACCGTCCACAAATCATCACAAACCATCCATGTTTTTTTTTTTTTTTTTTAAACAGGACCAGTGCCCAAGGCTGATATTATCAATGAGAAGATCTAGGCCACAGTCCTCACAGTCTACCCAGAGTAACCGAACCAACCAATAAACCATCCACGTGTGTGTGTTGTGTATTTAAATTTCCCCCCGCAACAGCCCCAATTCCACCCAGACGAGTAGATTTAGGATCAAAGCGGCTTTTGCCCTATTGCAGACCATGAGAACACTTGAGTTGAGACAGTCCAACGTTTAAGCAATTTTACAATTAGACAGTTTTTGTTTTTGGTTATTACCCCTTCCATTTGTTCTTACAGCTCCCCTTTTTACTGTGCCTCGCACGTGCAATGCTGCCCACATTGCTTGTGGTTGAGCGGCAGCTGCCCACATCCCCGTGTGCGGCCCACTTGCACGTTATGAAAGGAGGAAGAGCAAAGGGGAAGGTATACTCCTGTTCATTTCACTTCAGATCTTCAGTTTACATTTTGTCTGTTGTCTTAATGATGCTCATTCGTATGTTGTTTGCTAGTAGAACATAAGGGGACGGAAAAGGGAAAGGGGTAAGAAGCGGGGTTCTGTAGGGAGTAAGGGGCTGGGGAGGGAGAAAGGGTAGCGGAGGAAGTGGAGTGCAAAGGACAGGACAGAGATGTGACGAACTACACAGGATTCTAACTACTCATCGCCGGAGCAGACTACTCTAGAATGGCACATGAGGCCAGCCAGTGTTTGGATTGCATAAGATTTTGAGTTGAGGAGAAGCCATTGCCTATTGTAAGTTGCCACCCCAACTGACCGGACAGGACCGATTCGGGTGTGAACTGTGGAAGCACCGCATCCAATTCTCACAGTCCTCGAATGGCTCGGCGTAGACAGATGTCACAGGATACACGCCTCCTACATGCTAGGAACACAGAGGCACACCGACCACAATTGTAAAGACACTGTCGTACGAGCCCCTGTCTACAAACTGGACACGACATGTCAGGGTACCGTACATGAGTGCAGTACTGACTGTCATCATACGCACCAGGCATGTGAACCACATGTGTGTGTGTGTGTGTGTGTGTGTGTGTGTGTGTGTGTGTGTGTGTGTGTGTGTGTGTGTGTGTTTTGGATGTTCACCACAACGGGCCCTAATCCACCCCGATGAGTATAACCAAAATCGAAGCAGCTTTAGTCCTATTGCGGACAACGAACTACACTTGAGTTGTGACATTCCAACAATGAAACAGTTTTACCTCTATACGGAGTCTATAGCACGTAACATGGAGCACAACAAATCCGTTGAGATACCTTTGTCAACTATGTTCACTTTGGCTTTCTTTGGGGTTCCACTTTCATTTGTTCTTGCAGCTCTGAAACGGTTTTCACCTTTTTGCAGTAGCAGACGCAGATCCCAGGGTTCGATCCCTAGACCTTGCCCTATCTGTGTACAGTACCTGTGTAGACCCCGAGAGTTGAACCTGTGACCTGTGTATTCATAAACAGTTGATAGGCTGTCATAGGTCCGTAGGTGGTAGGGGTTTGATCTGTAGATCTGTACAATAGAAGTCTTAGCGAGTCCCAGAAGTCTTAGCTGTAGCCCTTCTACAAGGTCGGCAAGTGGTCAAGTGGTGAGTCAAGTGGGCAAGTGGTCAAGTGGTGAGTCAAGTGGTGGACTAAACCGCAGTGCGATTGCAGTACGAGTCCGGTGGGATAGCAGTGAGTCCCTAGTCAGTCAGCGGTAAGGTCCAGACAGTTCCAGTTGAGTCCAGCAAGTACCACCAGGGACTGTGAGCACCATGGGCCGATGGCAAAGGGCAGACCAACGAGTTTCAGAAGTATAAATCAAGAGGCAGCGCCCAGCCATTCATTCATTCCTGCGTGAGCCATGCGGAAGCGCTGCCGCAGCGACTTGTGCAAGGAGGTCTGCAGAGAGCCCGGAGCTGAAGTGGGCGCGAGAGAAGGAGCGTAGCTTAGTGATAGGGTAGAGGCAGCCATAGCTGCCATAGCTGTAGTTTAGTGTTCAGCGTGTGTGCGTGTGTGTGTGAGTTCAGAGAGTTGCGTGTGGGATATCCAGGGTGATCCGGTGTATGTGAACAGTGAGTTGTTTGGGCGCTGAGTCGCCATAGCCTATTGGAAGTGAACTTG